CTTTGGCATATCATTTTAAGGCATTTTACCACCCTATTTCGTTTAAGGTGAGGAAGGTAGTCTTGAGAACTTACTTACTTATGAAAAAAATTTTACCACCTAGTTTTTATGATTATGTCCGTTCACCAAGAGGCTCGACGATACTTTTCCTACTTTGTTGTACGTGTAGGGCAATTTTTTGGGTCAGAATCGCAGGTTGGTTAGAGTTCTAGTACAGTTCATTTGTGACCATAGGAAGCAAAACCGCTAAGGAGATCCGTGATAAGACCAAAATACAGGCAACTTGTTTTGAATATCAAATTTCCGTATAAAAGACGACTACTATTTCTTCTTCAAATTGACAAGAAACGGCGAATACATGTTATAATTAACCGCTGAGCTCAGCTATTATGTAGGCACTCTGTAGCCAACCCCTGATGTAGGGGCACAATGTGGGATTATTTGTACCATTCCAAGTTAAACCAGTTGGCTGAGTCAAAAGACCAGTGAAAGTCAAGAATTTCCTAAATATTTCTAGAATATGTTCAAGTTCAACTTCTTCAATCAAGCCGTGGCTGCACATAAAGTATAAGCCTTGCAAAGTCTTGTGTCCACTGTTCCTTTCGATCCTTGACCATGTTTTATTCTCCAGGTCATAGGTCATGGTAGACTCCCGAGAATTTTATGGTCAGTCATCTACACTGTAAAACAATGTTAATGGGGCGCTTAAGAAGTATTGTTAAGCCAAACGAAAACCTGATGACTATGTTGTTGCTATAGGCAAAAAGCTTATAAAGCAAATGACCCAAGTTGCCAAGGTCACCAGATATCCCGCGTATAGCACGAAATAGCTCTACGAGCTACAAAGAGAGGCTGGGTTTCGAAGCAGCATAGAGTCATCGGGGTCGTAGGATGGTGAGCCAAGGTCTACTTCGCACAGTTCAACAGACAAAACTCTAAGACATCCCTGCTTCGGTGTCAGGTGCGGCCAACCTACGAATCTCTTCCACCTGGCTCCTCAAAGGAAATGAAATGTATGCCAGTATTTCTATACAAGTTAGTGTATTCTAGAGTACAACTGTCATATTCACGCCGCAACTCGGTGCGCAAAAGCTCATGCATCTTCGAAACTCAGTTTTTCTACATACCACCATTCAGCACAAGAGCTAATTCGCATCCATTTTACATGGTCATAGTTACTATTAGGTACAGATGACAATAACATCTTCAGTAGTATTGCCAACCGGCCAGGATGAATTAACACCTGCCCGATTTCGGTTCAAATGTGTCCAGTCTATCTTTATTGTTGTGAAATTTCTAATATTCATAAGTCATGGAACTGCGTGGTCTTGTGTGCACAATCTTTGCTTCTTGCAACCCTTTTAAAAGGTTGGCTTTAGATGAGGGGGAACTTTTTTGATGCTGAATCGAGTTAACCCTAATGGAAAGCTGTCCTGTTATACGCTTCCTCAATGGTATCACACCTTTTAGACACTGATGTTTCTAGGCTTTAACGTAGTGACCTCCTCATGTAAGCAAATAATTAGTAACTAAGCCAGTTATGTGGTCATTTTTAATGAGATAGTACAAGAATTTGATTTATTATCACCTTCGTACCAAATTAACGTCCATTCTAACCAAATATTTAAATGCAGTAATAAATATATAAGAACAATTTATCAACCCGGTCGGAAGGATAGTATCAAGA